AAATCAAGAAAGTCAGAGCTATAAAATATTAACGGGCGAGCGAAGACACTTTTCTCTTTTCTGAAAAATCCTGCTTCTTAACACCAGATGTAAATTCGAATTTCTTTGAAAATTACCACTGGTAATTTCGAGCTGTGCGATCCGAAACAGTATTACCGTATCATGAAACAGCCGCGCTTAAGCTGCAACCATCGGACTAATGTGACAGATACTTCCCATAGCGAAATTAAGGCAAATCGTGTGCGGGTCCTCGCCGCTGTACGACATTATTCCACCGGGAAAATCGATATGCAAATCTACGCGCAAATCCTAGTAATCTTGCTCACCCGTCCTGCAGCCCTTGCAACGGCTCAACGGGCGGATGGCATACACTCGTTGACACCGTCGCCCCTTTCGCACCTCTTATCCACCCAATTTCTTTCTCTCCGCTTTCTTTCTTTCTCTCTCTCTCTCAGTCTGCATAGTTTCTCTCTATCATTCTGTCTGCGATGCTCATTTCAGCAGCGAGAACACGTTCTTTCCCTCTCGGCGTGCTCTCGTTGCTCGTTGCGCAGCAGGGCTGCGACAAGGGGCTGACGGGGGTAGATGGGTGAGAGGTTATAAAACGGGGTTAGCCCGGGTCTGAAGGATCGTGTTCGTCGGCCACCTTCGACGACAGGGCTTTATCGAGGTGAAAAAGGTTGCTCGACATCGACCTCCCGCCGCCATGAAGTGAGCAACCATCCCGCAAGCCTGCCTATAGCACCACCCTCTTGCTTTTTCCCTCTTGCGCCCCGTCGTCGAGTCGTTTTCGCGGATGTCTTCGCGTTTTTTCCGCGCAGCTAGATGGGGAAAACGATCCAAGTGCTCTCACGCGACGACGAATTATTATCGCGTGGTTTACTATCGTACTTCTTATATGTGATCCTCGTAATTTTGAGCCGGATATTGATGCCAATAAAATTTTTTATATCGCTTGGCTCCAATGGACGACGCTAATATCAAACAAGTATGTCGTTTTGTACTATTTTCGATATAACTATCGATATAATATCGATGGATCCGTTTTATTGGTAAAATCGTAATTCATTTTAAGCTATATTTAAAAAAATTTTTTAATTAATTGAAATTGAATTTTGTGCATTTGTAATTATGGAACAGATCAATTAATGAACTTGATGATTATATTTTAATTTATTTTTAGGCCAAAATACAATCTCTTTCCGATATTCATTATCATAACGTATCTAGATTGATTTAATTCCAATTCTATTGCATAGTACTTAATTATTAAAATATATAAGTTCGTTTTATGCTAAAGTTGATCACAAAATAACAAAAGAAATTTTGATTAGAGCCGTATTCCGTCTGGACGAAACGTTTTGTTTTCTGTGCTGGTTTATTTATGTGAGACTGGAGAAAAGAAAATGTACGTCTCTAGCAGCTTGTATTTATGGGAGGTCAGCGCGAAAGGAAGGAAGACAATCAATCTTGATCCCAATTATCGCGTCGCTCAGCGACTGTAATTGAGTCGGTTTCGAGCCTCCGACCGCCTCCATCCACGACGTTTCTTTTGTAATACCGAAAGACTGAAACAATGAAGGCATAGAGTTTCCCCGTTGTGCTCGTACGAATCGACTGGAAGCATTTTTTGACTTTACCACATCTGCTCGTTTCGCACCGATGAGTTATTAAGAGACGAATCACTAAAGATTATTTATTGTCTTTGTATCGATATGATTAGACTTCATTCACCTTCTAATTTTCTCAATACACTTCATATTCTTCCTATTTATAACAAAAAATTTGCAGCTTAATTGAATTTATATGATATAATTATACGGATAGTTGTATAAATATCACAATTTGTATGAATGAATATATAGAAGTTTAATAGCAAAAAATAGCTTTAGAGGATAACATTAAAAGTACGCTTTTTATAATTACTTTAACAATAATTATTTTAATTTAAATACTTTTGCATAATATATGCAATAGACATATAACAACAATGAATTTGTTTATCTCGAGGTTTATCTGTATAAAAGATTTTCAGGAAGACCATTCAATTTCAAATCTGGATCTACAGAAATTTAAAAAATAATACTATATGATTTAGGGGAACAGTTAAGCTATATATGTTTATGTAAGGTTGTACAAGCTTAATCTTAAAACGAGCCAAATTTGTTACGACGTGACTCAGAAGTTATTGCTTCATTTCAGGACGTAATAAGCCTTCTACGAATTGGTAGCGTGAAAATAAAGCTTTCTTTGTGTGCTGCCTTATGTTAGGCTATTCATCTAAGCGGATAAACATGAAATTGAATATTACTTATTATCTTAGGTTTATGTACAGATATCAATGTACAAATGTCAGTTTAAACTCGTTTATATTTTTAGAACTAGATGAATGATTTCTTCAATATCGTCTCTGCATTATATAAATTTTCGCAGCACACGAGTACTAATGTCATAAATTACATTGGTAGCCTAAAATACCAAATTGCTGTTTTTATAACAGCTTTATCTATGGTAAATCTAAGATATCAGTATTATATTATTTTATTTATTATATTATTATTAATTGTAATTATTTATAGTTAATTAATTATCTTGATAATTACTATATAACAACATTATTCGATGACACATTTTTAGTGTTTGTTATTGAAAAAAATAATTTAGCTGAATGTTGCAATTTTTATTGTGATTATACATTTTGTAATTTCATATTTAACGCATATGTTAAAAAATAAAATAAGGGCTATGTTTAGATATCAATATAATTTTATATTATAATTAAATATAAATATGTTTAAAATTTAACAGTTTGTGTTTGAAATTTGCAGTTTGACAATAATCATTGTACGCAACATCTTTCTCGAAATTGTGAATTGATTTTAATGTATTAGTAAGAAATACAATTACGTTTAATAATTCTGATTTTTAAAAAGTGTTTAGAACGATATAAATTTGCATTAAATTAAATTTGTTTAAGGATGAAACAATTCGGTCCTTGAAAGATTTGTGAGATATTACATCATTATGTATGAAATTTACGAGAGGCTATCCGTTTCCGGGGATCCTCTAAATATCATTAAAGTTTCATTAAAATTAGAGGGGAGCGTTTCGCATAACTCCCCGGAGAATGCTGTTTCTTATCAGTAGCCCCTTTAAATCAACTTTAATACTGCGCTCACTAGTTGGCACCATTTAGAATGTACAGTTTAAGCATCCCAATCAAAATCATATTTATGTTCATTATTACGATATTTATTGGCGCATTTGATAAACAAATTACTGATCATTATTATATGAGTATACATTTATTGAGAAACTATTTTTTTTGAGTTCTTGAAACGTTTAACTTTTTAAATTTTAAAAACTTTCCTTGATTTCCTTGATTATTTGTACATTTCTAGTGTATCTTTAATGTCAGATTCATACAGAAAATGAGGACCTTTATCTGGCTAGCTTAAAGAATTATTCTGATTTAATTATATTAAAAATTAAGAGAGTACAGTTTAAAATAGTTAATTACACTAAAAATAAAAGCAGAATAGACAGTCAAAACAACCGTTCGTGAGAAGCAATAAATGTTATCAACGTCAAAGCCTGATCCGCAGACATCGATACGCGTGTATACTTGCCATGTTGCCTTGTGCAAGAGCAAACGCTTGAATCTTGTCTCATGCAATTAGTCGAGCTTAAACCGCTCCGTGTCAACGAGAGCTTGGCTCCTGGAGAGCGCGACGACGCGGAGAACGGCGGCAGTGACGATGACGAAGACGATGAAGAGGACGGAGCATTTCCTCTCAATGGGTCGAAACTTTCTCGTGGCGGGTACCTACACATTATTCCTCGAAACTCTCCAATGTGCTTAATTAGGCGATATTTGAGCGTTCGTCTCGCCGACGCTACCACTAGCACTACCTACCGCTCCCCCTTGGCCGTCCAACTGACGCAACCCCTCTGTTTCTGACGGAGTTTACGCTCGCAAGCCGCTATTACCGAAAACCACTGGATTTCCGTAAGAAAGCACAGGCGGCTGGTGGCGGCTACCACCCGGTCCTATATAGACGTCTTACCTGAACTAATATTGTTAAGGTTTAATTAGTACCACCGCGACACCAAGCGCGACCTCTTCTTGTCCCGCTTACCCTTCCTTCATTTCCCGTGGGCTTCCGTTTCTCCGCCACGAGCCTCTTTCCAAGACTCGACTCGGCACTCTCGACGATGCTCCTTCCACTTTCCCGCCTTCGTGCCACTTCCGTATTCCAACCTTGCACCCGCAACTTACCTCATAAACCGCGTTACGGTTCGTCCCAACATCCAAATTATGAGAGGGAGAAGCTAAGTGAGAGAGAGTGAGAGAGAGAGAAAAAGGGCAAGACAGAGAGAATAAACGAAAACCCGATATGAAGGGTGAATAATGTGATAGGTGATTTTTTTATATTAGCCATATCCTGGACTATAACTTATACGCAAATGCGTTTTTTTCATATAGCCAAATTATAGACGAAAGCTTGTATTACACATTGTTTTACTGAAGACAACACTGTGTCTGATATATATGTATTCTACAAGAATGTTATAAATCATATGTATGGTGTCGTGAAAATAGTTTCCGCGTTATTATATATCGTATTATATAGTATCGTTGATACGAATATCAAATATCTCACCGATCATTATGTTTGCAATGACAATGAATATCGAATATTATATTTTACAATCTCTCGTCCAATTTCATTATTAATATCGTATATAGTCGATATCCAGCTTTCAATATTAATTGTTAAAGCAACGTTAGATAATTTTGAATTATTTGATGGAGGCAAACTAGGAAGAAATTCAATGAATACTACATAATATGATGTTCAAAATAACTTAACTCCGATTTACAAATCAACTATTTCTAATTATTCTAATTATTTGAAAAATGATAGTTGTAGTAAATCAACATAATTATTTGAAAAATAATAGTTGTAGTAAATTGACTTTCTGCATTTTTGTTTCAGGGTCGGTGTAATCGAGAAAAGCCACCTTGCAAGTATTTTCATCCCCCACAGCATCTGAAGGACCAACTCTTGATAAACGGGCGCAACCACTTAGCGTTGAAAAACGCGCTGATGCAGCAGATTCAGCAGGGCCTTACGCCGGGTCAGACTCTCGTGCCCGGGCAGGTACCCGCAGTGGTATGTCTAACAAATTAACACGATCGTTGCACCACTTCTTCTGCTATCAACACAGTCACACACTTTCTTTTACCACACCGTAATATCTGGATTTTGTCTGTGTTTAGTCGAGGGTTACTAGATTATCTTATTCGATAGGCAACGCTGCGTAGATTATTGACGGCGTAGTGTATAAGCTTTCTTTTCACGTTACTATCGTATCAAGAAATTTGAAGCTAGATGCTGTTACTGTATAAGCTACGTTTGCATACGCAATTTTGTATGTTACCTTAAATTAAAATGCTTTACAAACTTTTTCAGTAAGGCTCGAGTTGTTATAAACGCAGCACTTCGCCGTCTATATTTACATGCGTTCCCTCTTGCGGACATTGCACCGAGAGACAAAGTTTTTAAAAATTAAAGTTTAGCACGTCGCATGTTCTTGGTCAGTGTCATCCTTACTTCCTAGAGTAAAACCTGACTTATCCACATATTTTGATAGACAGTCAATTTACAGAATCGAATCTCTTTGATATGATCGGCAATTCTTAATCTTATTATTTTTTATTACAGCTTTTTTTGAAATTATGATGACACTCGTGATTTTTATTCTTATTATTATTCTCAAATCGTAAATTTTAATTATTTTTGTATTACAAGTACGTGATGTATTCAAGATATTTAAATATATTTTTGATTCAAAAACTTTATAAATAGTTTCTAAAATCAAGTATTTTTTAAAGGCCATGAAACGCAAGTTAAGAGTCTTTGATGTGGACATATTAGATTCGTATCGCGAATATTTCTCGTACTGTTCATATTTATCATTTAACGGGGGAGGCTCGTTAATTACGGGAAATGCAATATCGACGAGTCGAATTTGTAAACGCTAGAATAGCGTTTAGACGCGGAAAAGTTTCGTCGACTCATCAAAATTTCACGCGACATTGCATATGCGTTGTTGATACGACATTCGGATAATTTTGATTAACTCGAATAAATCTTCAACGATTGAGGGAACTTCCCCCCATGCCTTTTTTCTGAACTCCCCTGTTCCGCGTGCATCTCTATAAGATGACCGATACGCGAGATTATCATTATTTTGTTTTTAATTAAAGAAATAATCAAAACTCTCGTTATTAACGTTAGCCCTCCTTGTTCTTTTTGTTTACTCATGACATATATTCATATTCGTTGCTACGTGACATTAAACCCTATACTATGACTGCCTGTCTGTCCCCTATGTTTGCCGCTGTGGCTCACGTGGTTGTGGTTGATTGTTGGTGTGTTCTCCAATTACGTCATTGGTGAACAGGAGGCACCAGCACCTCCGGCACCACACCATCACCTTCAACAGCAAATCCAGCAGCAACTTCTCGCTACCCACGCCTTTATGGTAACTCCTGGTTTTGGTTGGCTTCCACTAATTTTTAGTTAATTTAATGCCACGCTGGCTAGCGGTGGATGTAAAGATGCTTGCATTTATGAGTTTGTAAAAGGAAAACATGACAATTTGTATTTAGTTTCAATTTGCAATATGTTTATGCCAAATGAATTACTTTCGTAAGTTTACATCCACTGTAGCTATTCAAGCGATGCGCCTGTAATTAGTAAGCGTTCGTACGAAAGCTTAAACTTTTATTTTAAGAGCGCGCCGCATAGTAAGTCAATAATTTATTTGCATGCTTTACGAAATGTTTTGTTTGTTTATTGAGGAAAGAAAATTTGTTTGTATATGTTTTCGTAAAGTTTTCCTGTAGAAGAGAAGAGCATGAAGTATTACGGCTAAATAAAATTTGCGCGTTCTTTGGCTCTGAAAACGATGAATGTTTCTTCTCTTTTTCACTTTGAAATATTTTATATTTTATGTTTAACGTTATAACAATAAATATTTAAATATAAAAATTGTTAGAGTTTTTAAATATAATGAGAATGAAACTTATGAGAGTCGAAGAGACGAAGAAAGAGGATGCGAGGCAAGGTAATCTTGAAAATATTATCGATCTTACAATATTTTAATTAGCAATGAAATTTTTGTTTCCTGATATACTCTGAAAAATTAGAAAGCTGATGTCTGATCATATAATAGCTCAGCTAATATTTTTCAACAATTACCTGGCTGCGTTTCCGAAAGCTTTTTACAACGACGAAAGCTCCCAGGGTATCAGAGGCTTTTGAAAAGAAGGAACGAGTATTCTGCTCGTTCGGATGCGCTTGAAATTACCTGCCTTCGCTTCTGGGAGCCAGCTCTCGCTGCAAAACCAAACGCTTCGTGTGGGAACGTACGCTTGTCGTTAAAAGTGAAGGGGAGGGCACGAGAGAAGAGAAAAAGGACGATTAAGGCTTTGCGAGATCCGTAAACGAGACGTCTTTTCTTTGCAAATTTTTGTCTTTAGCACGTTTTTCAGATTTACTGTCTCAAATTAACCCTTGTAGGTATACAATATCACGCGTGCAATAGAATTTCTTTAAAACTTTGGATATTGATAATAATGTTGAGATATATAAATAATAATTGCAAATAAAATATAATTTTTTTTAGATATATAATTACATGTGAACGCGCGACAAGGTTCACGAACCGTTGGCATTAGCAATGGATTAAAATATGGCGATAACCCGTAAATTTTCTGATATCTTTGAAGAATATTTAATTATTTGAATGGATATTTAATTAATTAAATAATAATAATTTTATTTAAAGAGTTAAATTGTTCAAGATGAATTAGGACAAAACGTATAATTTTTATATTTTATATATATATATATAAAATAATCCGAATATTTTAATTTAATTGCCATCATATTACATATTTTGATATATATTTCTGTGTATGTTATTTGTTCCAAATTCCTAGAGTTTTGCGGATAAATATTAAACAGTTTAAGATGGCTGTGTATCAATTTTTTTCTCAGCAATGCGCAATATATTAATATATATAATTTTCCTTCATTATACCTTGTTATTACACCAGATATTAATGATGTTGCTTATTTATCCAAAATTGAAGTGGGTACGGTGATGGCTTGTAAACCAAGCGATGTATATTGCGCGCCTTAAAGTTGATAAACACTGGAGAGTATTGCTCGCAAAGCTTTAATGCACCTTGAGGCAAAATTTACACGGACATTCAGAAATGATAGATTGCGTATATAGAGTATTTGGTAGTTTGTGGCACAAACGGGAAAACGTTAACTTCTTGTTGGAGAAATTAAACTGCTCAATTTGAAACGAGTTGATTTGTAAGAAAATCTTTTTTTAGAAACAATTCCTCATTCTTATATTATTTGCAGAAAACATTTTCTTTATATTCAATTGTAATTATTATTATCGAAATTGTGAAACAAATGTATATTCATCAACAATATATTATACATTATAAATGTAGAATAAAAGTTCCGATTTTATTTCTTGTCAAATATATAAATAATTATTTATTGATTAAATGTATTTAATTTTCTCTGACGTTATGTGATGTAATAATTTGTAATTTATGTAACTCTTTCTTAAGAATATTTATAGGAATTGCAGAATTAAAGCAGATAGCATGTTTTTTTTTATTTTATAATCAAATTTAGTATTCTTATATCTTATTTATATTAATCAATTCTTATAAAGTAAATAATTTGAAAATATGATTACATTCACAAAAAAGCAATTTTTAATCAAATCAACTCGCTTTATAAAGAGACATCATGTGTTTTAACTGACCACTAATATTAATACTCTGTATATACAGATATTTAGGTATAAAGCACGCGTTTCAATGGTCTCGAAATCGCGCGCGTCGCGACGTGTACAATCGAAAACGCGTGGAGCGAAGGCGGGGACAGGTGTGTTCTAATCCATGTTACCTGGATATCTTCCGGGTGTGTTTTCGCAGGCGACGAATCCGTACCTGACTGGTATGCCGCAGGTTAGCAATACGTACAGCCCGTACTTCGCGCCCAGCCCGATAATGCCGGCGATAATGGGCCCGGCGGACCCAACGGGCGTCGGCAGTCCGCTCGGCGTAGTACCGCAGACAGTGGCGATGCCGCAGAAGATGCCACGTACCGACCGCCTCGAGGTATGTCTACCACCAAACTACATTCAACAACAACAACAACAACAACAACAGCAACAACAACAACAGCATGGGGCCCAACACGGCGCAGCCGGGGCCTCAAGGTGCCCGATGGCCGCGCCCAGTACCGTGTACCAAGTGCCGGCCGGTCCCCCCAATCAGGTGTCGCCCGTATCCACGATGCAATCTGTCAATCATCCACCATCCCCCACCACCATTACAACGACGTCCCTGTGCACCCCCCTGCACAATCCCCATGCCCATCATCATCCCATTCACAATCTTATTTACGTTCACGCGTATTATTAGAGAGGCTCCGACGTATAGACTTTTAAACTCGACTCGACACCGAGTGTCGATGACGTTCGATTGTTCGACGAGATAGATCGACGCCGCGCCAACGTGTCACTTCTTTTCGTCCTTTCATTACCCCCCCCCTTCTCTTTGCGTTTTCCTTCCCTCTCTATTTTTTTCTCATGTAAGCGTAACGCGTCGGGTGGATTAATCAGCCAGGGCGTAACGGTACGCCCGTGGTGATTAGAGCGTAACGATGACAACGGATGAAATTGCAGCGGGCACCGAGAATATCCTGACGGAGAATATCCTGATTTCGCAGACGGGTTATATAGACATGCGTTGCTAATTACAGTAATTTACGCCGCGCGGATCCATAAGGCGATCTGATTACTCGAGCCGGATGGCTTACGTTCGTCGTGCGAGACAGCGATCGATAGTAACGGTACCGATGGATCCTGGGCTGGAAATCGGACATTCGTTTTGAGAACATATGACAAACATTACGGAGACTATAATGGGAGAAACTTTGAGAGTGTTTAGTTAGGATTATTACGTACGGCTGTACGTATTACAAAGCGCTATATATTTCTATACACTCATTTAATTAATGTCACGTGTTCGATCACGAAAAGAGATGTGTATCTTACAATTAGCGGTATAGAGACGATAGTCTCGAGATTAGCGCAACTGTAGTCGGTGATTAGTGAACAAATACGATTTCGATGACGATTCCGCGATTTACGTCGATTCAAAATCAATCATAACAGCGACTGGTGGCGATTAATCTCGTATAATAGATATTTTGGCGAATAATTTGCAATAGATAAATATAGAAATCGTAAATTTTATGATAAACAGAACAGACGCTGAAAGTGACGAACAGCGAGAGAGGAGAAATCGAATTGCGAGAATGACAGATTTTGTGCGTATATTTTGTAGTGTGAAATGATGGCAGGAAATGAAACGATGCAAATGACGAGCAGTAATATATCGTCATCTAGTAAGGTGTGGTGACAAAGCAAATAATTTAAGATACTGCACGTAGAGATACAATAGATTCCTATGAATCGTGAGCGACACAAAGGTCTAAAAGTATCGAGAGTATGTAAATTCTTAAATCAGGTAACTATAACGGCAATGATGAAACGTGATGAATAATTACGATTAACTTATATAGACCAGAATATAGTATATATGGCTGATTTGATAAAAGTAGACAGATTTTTAAATGTACAACCAACAAAATTATACAAAAATTTTTCAGCAATTTACAAGTATTTTTTAAATTAAAATTTATCTCGATTTATATGACTTATGACATCTACACGTTATTTTATGACATCGATAAATTGTCACGATAATTGTCTTACGATTTTTGTTTTGTGAAATTGTTGACCTTATATATCTTTGACCTAATTCTTTACTTAAAAAAACACTTGTTCAGTATGACAAGTTACGGTCCCGTTGTTACTGTTTTTTAGTTTAAAAAAATAAAAATAATTATTAATGCTTATTGACTATCATCTAATATGTTAAATTTTGAGAAAAACTATGTCAAATGTTAATATTTTTTTGCAGATTGTTTTATTATAAATTTTATTTTTGTTATATGTATTTGACGATGATCAATTATAAAATAAATTAGACTAATTTTTTTTATCGTTATATTAATGATAACATGCGACAATTATCGGTATTTTAGATATACTTATCATACGAAAGATAGGATAAATAATCATCGAAGTTTATTTTAACGACGCGTGAATCGTTATTGTTGGTTTTTTCGGGTCTTCAAAACGTCGTCATCGAGCGATGTAAACGAAGATGTGCCATACCCGTCTTATTTTCTGTCTCGATTCACATCGTTGCAAGAACAATCTATCTTGCGACATGATTATTTCTTAGAAAGTTGCTTCTAGCGGTTACATCGAAATTCTGTCACTTCTATCAAATATACGCCTGTTTCTTAAATTAATTATTTCCTTTAGATATACATGTTACAAAGATATTTAGGAAAATAAATGTAGGTTGGCGTATGGCGTATAATATTAATATCGTATTTCTGTAAGTGTTTCGGGAAGAACGGACGAAGCTTTCCGGAATTAGAGTGCGATCTTTGCAAGGCGCACTCGGTAGAGATCTGAGATACGATCGTGCAATATCGCCTCGGCCTTCGGTACCTCCAGTTGAAGAGCGCGAGAAACGTTTCAGAAACAATAACAAGATCGCCCTGTGAAACTTCGCGTCTGCATGCACCTGGAGTTTTCTAATGCGCGAGTTCGCAGATTTCCCCGGAGCCGTCATCGCCTCTTTTCTCGTTTCGCCCGGCGGCACTCGCGAAATTAACAAGTTTTGCGAGTCGGTTTTCACAGGGCAACCCTCTCGTGCGAGGTAGTCTCTGCAAAACGAGGGAACGAACATCGAGATAGCAGCGCAATATCGGCGCGAAAACTCGTGCCGATTCATTTGCGGGGTGTTTCTTGGCATTCAACTCGCAAATAATGAACTGCTTGTTGTAAAATGTTTCGGATTTAATATACTTGTTCCCAACATAGTCGTACAACGCGGCTTACCGGGAATATTAAATTAAAGAATAAAGTAAATTTATATTTTACATTCCGGTAAAAGATAAACGCTTTTGAGGAGGTGGTAGCTCCGTTATGATTCTTGATGCCCAGTATAACCAAATAGCAACGAATTAAAAAACTTATAAGGTAATTTCAAAAACTTACATAAACTGTATTATCAAAAATTATTGAGCGCTACATGTAAAGAAAGAAATATTTAAATGTCTTTCTCAATATTTAGCGATAATTTGAAAGCGAGAAGGTCACAAACATTAGAACGGCTGAATTCTAAGTCTGTTTAGAATATCAATTTTAAATAGAAATTTAAGATCGTTTTAAATAATGTCTTAAAATGCTAACACTACTCTGTGATTGGCTTATGACATCTTAAGACTGTACTTAACACAAGCTTAAATATAAGAATCGACTATGAATATCGGCCTTAAAAACTTTAAATTTATTTGAAAATATAATAGATTTAGCCATTCTACTGTTAACATCCACATAGTCGAAAGCAACGAAGGATGGCAATCACGGCGCACTGAAATTTAAAGAATTCGCAATCGTGAAAAAAGAGAACATAGAAAAGAAAAATCGAAAATACCGAATGTACAGCCATGTCGATTCAATTCGGTTTGGTTTTATTATTTATGTGTTTGTACGTCGTGTCTGTGTATGTGATTATTATTCCGATAGTAATTCTTATCATCACGACTTGGTTACATTAATCGAGAGAACGGGAGATCTCGCAGATTCCTTGCGAGTTATTGCACTTATGTAGCAAAATGACTTTGCAATGCAGAACGTTTCATAGCGTTCGAAAATCTAAATATATGTACGTATGCAGAATCATATACAGATACATGACGCTTACACGCGCCGGTCCATCCATGCATACGCACATAGTGATATATGTGTACATAGTAGGTAGGTTAACAAATTAATTAATTAATTAATTAATTGTATTTTGTATCGCGCGCAGAAACTGGTAGAACATAAAACCAACGGAAAATGTAACTCGCTTATTTGAATTTACTGCAACAGATCGCGATTTTTTGTATTGCATTTGACGAAGACACTATACATGTACAATGATGTTCCTTTTCTAAATACGTGTATATCGATTTTAGGCGATCGATATTGCAAGTTCGACCGATCGCTCTTCAACTAGGCGAAAATTAATTTTGCGCTCGCATCAGAATTTCCAGCCTGGGCGAAATATAAACAATTATTTCGGCGCGAAGCAATACGAGATCTTTTTATCAGTTTTATAATTATACACATCGTACCCTTACACCATTTTACCCTCTCCTTCCTCGTCTTTCATCTTTCATCACCATAGTGAGAACGATAGCACCCTCTCTATCCCCCATCCGAGATAATATATGATCGATTTCACATATTTACGATTAAGTAATAGTAAAGGAAACGTTTACGAAAAAGAGTAAGGATATACACAATGTAATGTCGTTTAATTAAATATTGCAGATAGAAATCGGAAATATATGATCGATTTATTAACTAATTACGATTGATCTTACGGTAACACTTATTATAATATTTGGTAACATACAATAACGATGATAATTAGTAATCATAACAATACCTATTTGTGATGTACTACGATGACTTGCACTGAGTTCGAGTCACGTGAAATTTATTGATGATGAATTCAAATAAAAGAAATATAATTGAAACTGGAAACGATGCACAGACTGTTTATTGATTCTTACAAGTTCACTTAATGACCAAAAAGTTTGTGTGCTTTGTATGTCTTACCTTAGTCTTCTTGTATTTTCTTTACTCATTATTTTTTTTGTTGCCTTTGCTCTTTTGGTTGAACAAATTTGCGCGAAGTATGCCCAGAACTGTATATCACTCTTTTTTCCTTTTCTGTTTGGAGAATACAAACTTTCTTTTGTAGTGCACTCCGCTTGCAAATGAGAAATAGTTTCTTGTGTATTCAGAAATAGGATACTCGATCGAAATTGTGCTAATAATCGGCTATCAGTCAAGTAATCTGCGTATAAACGCCTCTCGCGAGAATATTCCGTTGTATCCATTGCTAATTCCCGTCCAAATCGACGACAACATTGAAATTCACCCATTTCTTTCCAAGATTTTATCCCGTCTGGACAT